AAACCCCTTGTATTGAAACAAAAAATCATTTTTTTGCAAAAAAAAATGTTTTTTGGCGATCAATGTTTTATAGCCTTAATAATAATAAAAAATCACTTCTAAGAAAAAAACATTATTTATAGCCTTAATATTAAAAACAAAACATATTCACTATTTACGTAAAGTAATCAAGCAATTAGACTGCTCGTTTTCATTGAAATCAATGTTTTATTTCTTATAATTCGTATTAGACAAGTTACATTTTGATTTGCCTGCAGTTACATTTCTTATCAGCGTGAGTTACATTTATTTACACGCGAATTACATCACTCTGCTACCGGACAATGAAAAAACAAAAGAGAAGTTATTGTTCACGCGTGAAAGTGACACACGTTTTTTTGCCCCTGGGAACAACATGCTCACAGTGTCCTGCTCCCACGGTATATGAACTGTACCTTTAGGTATTTATTTACTACGTATATTCCTTTCTTTCAGTTTTTTTTTCATCTTAAAATAGGTCATATCTTTGTCCATGATAAGAGTAAGAGTAGAATTGGTGTCATTGTAACTAGAACATATGTATTTCAATTGTTCATTATTTTAATCACAAATATGCATGTCAAATCCATTGTTGTTTTGTTTTATACATATGAAGCACAAGCTTTAGCAAATGTGAATGATGAAATAAATTTACAAGATGTAGAGATCTTCTCCCTAGATAGTCATGTAAGATGCTTGGAAAAATAAACATGGAGAAGATACTTTAATCATGCATCATCACAAATATCATAGGTAGAAACTTTAAATATCCTCTATTAAGATTTCTCATCATTCACATCACAATAATGGATAGGGGGAGAATTAAGCTTCACATATTCTTTTTAATCTCAACACTGGAATGTGAATTCAAAAATCTAATCTCCTCAAAAGAAAGCTGATAAGAATTACTTGTAAGAGAACCGAAGGACTGACGGCTAGAACTTGAATTTTCTGTAAAAATACTACAAGACTTAGAGACAACAAAATCTTGCATTGATTTTCCAGAAAACATATTAAGTCTTGTGGCTTCTTTATGAAAACATTTTAAAATCTAGGCCATCCTTTCTTAATGTTTGTTAAGAACTTTTCCTGTTGACAATTCAGAACGGGGGCAAGGGGAGTGTTACTTTAGAAACCAGTTCCGAGGGAGGTTTTGAAAGTTAGAACTTTTGATTAGAAGAGGAGACATAAATTATATATGCTTGTGTTGGGGGCATTTTTGAGAACATATATCTCATTTAAAGGTTTGCTCTTTTGTTCTTTGAACCACATTCTTTTGGGTTTTAGAGATGTGTGCAAAAACCCGCAATATTAGAAACGATCTTTGAAATGTAAACATTTTCAGACTTGGGGTTTCTAGAAAGAGATAATTCTTCCCCTATAGACAAAGTCTGACTCGTATGACTATAGATTGAATCATAACCAGTAGACTGAGGAACTTCTCTTGCCTTAAAACTATTACTCAATTCAAAATAGTCAAGAGACTTCATCCTTGGCCTTATCTCTTTTCTCATGTTCAAGACACGTATATATCTCTGACGCTCCAATAAAGGCCATCGGTGAGGTTAGACCTAAATCCATGTACCGTATGTCATAAAATTGACGTGAAATCACTCTCTTTAAGTGATTGAGATTTTCGTAACTCAAACCCCGAACATGGTTGTAGAATTCAGTATCCTTAGGCTGATTCAGAAAAATGATTTGATCAATTCGGCCTCTCTTTAGCAAGGATGTCCTCCAAATCTTTGAACTTAGAGTATAATTTCTTGTGTTCCTCTCAAATGGTTTCATAAAAATTAGTAGTTGAAATACATTCAAGTTTAGAGGCATCCAGTTGTTTAGTTAAGTCACATGGCCTTTTGCTTCTCAATTTTCTAACTAAGACTTAAAACTAGTGATCTCGTTCTGAGCATTGGTTAATCGAACCATGGTGCTTGATTCTTTCCTTAAGTGTTTTCTCAAAACACACTCATTATTTGCTAACCATTCTTCCGATTCTTTGATAGTCTTACGATCTTTTCCTGTGTATTAGAAAATGAACTCAGATGAAATGAAGGAAATTTCAATATTATTGATTACAAGAGTCAATACAAGTATTTATAGTAGAATGCAAGTAACTAACTCTAACAGCCTGTATAACAGCACTAACAGCCTAAGGTATATCTAGAAGGTTCAAAGCTATTTACAATAAACGTATGTAACATTATTTTATATTCCTAACATTCCCCCCTCAAACTTAGTGTGATTGATTTGGAAGGTCGGTCAATCACACTAAGTTTGGTTTTTAACTCAAGAAAAGAAGATGCAGATAAAGCCTTTGTCAGAATATCAGCAATTTGTTGGGAAGCAGGAATATGGAACACTTCAATCTGCTTGGACTGAATTTTCTCCCTCACAAAAAAGAGATCAATCTCCACGTGTTTTATCCTGGAGTGTAACACAGGGTTGTGGGCAAGTTGTACAGTGCTGAGGTTGTCACAGTAGATCTTTGGAGTAGAAAATGATACTTGAAGTTCTTTGAGTAAGAACTGAAGCCACAGAAGTTCAGCTGCAGTGTCTGCTAAACTTCTGTATTCAGCTTCTGCAGAGGATCTGGCCACTCTCAGTTGTTTCTTGGACCACCAAGAGATGATGTTTGACCCAAGAAAGATGCATGATCCAGAAGTAGACCTTCTGTCAACTAGGTCAGATGCCCAATCAGCATCACAAAAGGCAAAGATAGGTAAAGGCATAGTTTTCAGAGGTAGAGGTTTAATGATGATGCCATGTGTTATAGTACCAGATAGATATCTGAGAATGTGTTTTACTGCCTTCCAGTGATCTTGTAGAGGTACTGCCATGAACTGACAGACCTTATTTACAGCATAACTAAGTTCTGGTCTTGTAAGAGTTGCATATTGCAGCATGCCAACAATGGATCTATAAGTGGAGGGGTCAGGAAGAGTAGCACTTCCTGTATTAATTAGCTTGCAGCTACTAACCATGGGAGTTTTCACTCCTTTGGAATCAATCATGCCAGCTTGGTGTAATAAATCTCTTATGTATTTGGTTTGAGAGAGATGAAGACTTCCATCAGGCAGCTTTTTGACTTCTATTCCTAGGAAGAAGTCAATGTCACCCAAGTGCTTGAGAGAAAAGGATGAGTGTAGTTTGTAAATAAGGTTTTGCATTGCTTTAGAATCATTGCCTATGACCAGAATATCATCTACATATATTAATATGTAGATCTGAACTCCTTGAGACTTGAAGAATAGGAGAGATGGATCACATTTACTTTGCTGAAACCCTGTTGTATAAAGAACTGAAGTCAGTTTGTGAAACCAGGCCCTAGGAGCCTGCTTTAGGCCATACAATGACTTGTGAAGTTTGCGGACTAAAGTGGTGTCCTGTGCCTGAAAGCCTGGGGGTTGGACCATGTAGACTTCTTCATCAAGTGTTCCATTTAGAAAGGCATTATTGACATCTAATTGAAACTGCCAAGGTGAGAAATATTCTGATAGTGATAGGTTTGACCACTCGAGAAAAGGTTTCTTTGAAATCAAATCCAAATCTTTGATGGAAGCATTTGGCGACTAATCTGGCCTTATATTGTTAAGAGAACCATCAGGGTTTTCTTTAACCCGAAAGACCCATTTACAGCCTATAGCTTGTTTGTCAGGTAGTAAAGGAACTAAAGACCATATTTGATTTTCTATCAAGGCATTATACTCATTTTTCATTGCAGAAAACCACTGAGGAGATGTGAGTGCTTGCTTCACTGATTGAGGCTCAACATGTGCTAATAGCAAGGTAGGATTAAGTCTAGGTTTAATAATTCCTGATTTTGATCTAGTTTGCATAGGATGAGTGTTAGTTATATGAACAGAATTGGAAATTGAGGAAGTAGAGTCAGATGATGGAGGAGAAGGTGGTTGTGGATGAATAGCTTGCTGATGTAGGGATGGACTGAGAGTAGAGTTGTTGGAATTTACTAAAGAATTATGAGTGGAAGGAGTAGATGAATGGCTTGCTGATTGATTGTGATTATTAGAAGAGATGGGTTGCGAGGCAGTGGGCTGGGAATTATTGGATGAGAGGTTATGAGACTGAGATTGTGATTTAGTGAAGGAAAGTTCATGAAACTGGGATTGAGATGAGTTAGAACCAGAAGAAGGATTTGAGTCTAAAACAGTTAATATGGCAGAATCTGAGTTATGAATAGGTTTGGTTGTGGGAATAGAAGATTGGGATACAGATGAATAGGGAAAACTGGATTCATGAAAGATGACATCCTTTGAAATGTACACTCTGCCAGATTTGGAAAGACACTTATAGCCTTTATGCTGAGAAGAATATCCTATGAATGTACACTCTTCTGAGTGAAAATCAAACTTGTGTTTATTGTAAGGTCTCAGAAAAGGATAACAAGTGCAACCAAAGACTCTAAGAGAAGAATAATCTGGAATAGATCCATAAAGTTTAAAATATGGGCTAGAATTGGCAATGGACTTAGATGGAGTTCTGTTGATAAGATGCACAGAGGTTGCAAATGCAGCATCCCAGAACTTAAAAGGTAAAGAAGAATGGGCTAGGATTGAGAGACCTTTTTCAACAATAGTGTGATGTTTCCTTTCAACCAAACCATTTTGATGATGAGTGTGGGGACATATGATTCTGTGAGTGATTCCTTTTTCATTGAGGAAATTAGTGAAGTATCTAAATTCCCCTCCCCAGTCAGACTGTACAGATTTTATGGATATTGAAAATTGATTGAGAATCAAGTTGTAGAAATTTTGGAATGCTAGAAGAGCATCAGACTTATTTTTCAGGAAATATATCCATGTATATCTTGTAAAACCATCAATAAAGGCTATATAATAGGAATATCCATCAAAAGATACAATGGGTGCTGGACCCCAAAGATCTGTGAATATTACTTCGAAGGGTTTATGATAAACAATATTAGAAGGATGTGAAGGAAGTCTATGTGCCTTCCCAAGACAGCAAGCAGAACAGAAATCAACATCAATGTGATTTATAGAAGACACATTACAATGTTTAAGTACAGATTTAAGTACCTCAAGATGAGGATGACCTAATCTGAGATGCCAAAGATTACATGAAATTGAAGAATTACATGACTGAGACTTATTACATGATGACAAACAAGACATTGGATGCACAGATTTATTAGTAGACATTAAAGAGGCTGGAGGATGAACTGCAACAGTTGGACATGGACCAAGAGGAATGAAAGGAAACTTGTATAAGCCATCTTCACCAAGTTTTCCATGCAACAAGACTTGTTTAGAAACCTGAGATTTGACATAGCAGTCATGAGGATAAAATTCAAAGAAGACATTATTGTCCTTGGCAAATTGACTAACACTCAGTAGATTTTTGGTTATATGAGGAACATGAAGTATATTATTCAGTAAGAGTGATTGTGAGGAGTGATAAGGTGAGAGAAAGGAAGAAAAACCTATAGACTTAATATCCAAACCTTGTCCATTGCCCATGAAGAGCTTGTCAGATGTGGCAATAGGCTCACTGTGCTGGAAATTCAGTGGATCTGCAGTAACATGGTGAGTTGCTCCTGAATCTGGAAACCAATGTTGATTAGATGGAATAGGACCAAGTACAGAATGATTAGCAGTGGCATAGTTTGCAATTGGTGGAGTATTAAAAGGTTGTTGATGTCCCCAGTTGAAGGTTTCAGGAGGTGGAGATGGATTGGTAGGCTGATGATTCCATGACTGATTGGGTTTTGATTGTATAGACTGAGATTGAAAGGTATATGGTTTAGGTTGATGAGTATAATGATTTTGAGGATAGTGAGATTGTGAGTTGGGATTCGAGTAGGGCGGAGGTCCAGATGTTTGATTTGGATAATTAGGGTTTTGAGAAGAAGGATTAGGGTTTGGATTGGTATATGCAGGATTGTATCTATGGTAGCAAATCAAGGCATGGTGACCTGATTTTCCACAGACTTGACAAATGATAGAATTACGTCCAGAGCGACCACCCCTGCCTCTGTGATAGCCACTGCGACCACGTCCGCGGTAAGGATTATCACTATTTGGATTATTATACTGAGAAACATTTGCAGAGGCATTTTCAACAGAAATAGAGATTTCAGATGAATTGTTCTGAGAGGAAGTATCAACTTGAGCAACGTTAGCAGAAAATATACTTTGCTGAGTAGTGTCATGATGTTTCTTAAGTCTCATCTCTTTTGCTAGAAGCAAGGACTCAAGTTCAGCTAAGGTAACTGGTTCGAGAATGCTGCGAGAAGTTACAGAGGACACAAGAGCTTCATAATCTTGTGGCAATCCTTCGAGTATGACATTGCTATGATCTTTATTAGAGATCGGTTCACCTACGAGAATAAGATTGTTAACAAGTGTCTGAATTCTAAGCAGGTACTCTGAGATGGATCGTTCCCCTTTTCCAGTGTTATAGAGTTCGGATTTGAGCTGCCTTGCCCTAGCAACGATGTTAGCTTGGAAGAAATTGTGAATCGTGTTCCAGAGTTCATACGATCGCTGGCAATGAATAATACGAGCATGCAGAGTTTCAGATAGAGATGAAAGCATCCACACGAACAACATCTGATCATGTTGATCCCAGTGAGTGTAAGCCTCATTCACAGTCTCCTTTCCATCTTCATCTGTGATGAATTGCTCTAAAGTCTTCGAATTCTCTCTGAACCGAACGAGTTTGTGCGCGCGAATCACAGACTCAACATGATGCTTCCACAAAAGACAGTTATTCGAGTCTAATTTGATTGGAAGAGGGTGATTGAACGCTACTGGAAAGGTGACACTTTCAGCAGCGGAGGTTGAAGATGAAGTTGAATCAGTTTCCGGCATGGTTGATCGAGCTAAAGCTGTGATACCATATTAGAAAATGAATTGAGATGAAATGAAGGAGATTTCAATATTATTGATTACAAGAGTCAATACAAGTATTTATAGTAGAATGCAAGTAACTAACTCTAACAGCCTGTATAACAGCACTAACAGCCTAAGGTATATCTAGAAGGTTCCAAGCTATTTACAATAAACGTGTGTAACATTATTTTATATTCCTAACACTGTGGATGTCATTCAATCCTTTTAAAAATGTAAATCTTTAGTGAAAACGTAATCAGATGTACATACCTCAAATTCATGAGAAGATGTGGCATTTTCCTTGTTAGATAATGATGATGAATCAGAGTAAGCGCCCATTTTTATTGTTGGCTTCAGATCGTTGATGTGGTTTTTGATTGAATTGATCTACAAATTTCTGAACATTAAAGTTTGGCGTTGATCAGCTTTGACTTTGACTGAGTTGGACTTTAACTTTGACCTCAAAGTTTGACCTTGACATTTGCCCAGAAAATTCGAGCCTTGGACTTTGACCTAGGAGTTTGACTCGAAGCTTTGGCCGAAGGTTTGACTTCGGACTTGGACCTTTGACTTTGGATTTAGGAGCCTGGTTTACGCTTCTCACTGGTGAGGGAGGGTTTGTGGGTCTTAGGGTTATCTGGTCTACAGGTCTGGGCGGTTGTTTTCGGATGAGAAGGTTTTTGAATGAAAAGCCTTTCGATTCTTGTCTTCTCCTTACGAATCGCAAACATATATGTTTGTACTTCAAAGTTGAAAATTTTGAAATTCTTCTTTGGGAATGAACTTTTCGAATGAGAATTTTAGAATGAACTTTTCGAAGTGAGCTTTTCGAATTGAGCTGTCTTCTTCCTATGAACCGCAAACACAAAGTTTGTATCGCAAAGCTGAAACTTTTGAACTTCTTCTTTGTAAGAAATTATTATTCAATTCGTTCCAAAAAAAGTCCTACGTGAAAATTTATTTGTGCCTCAGCCAAGAAAGCCAATTTCCCTTTTTTGAAATAAGTGTCTCAAAGAAAGTCAGTATGTTAAACTTTGTTGAACCAACAAGTAAATTTAAAAATATAGCTAGCTAGAGTTGTTGGTTTCCATCAGTTGTACCTTGTCAAAATTTAAAAGGTGGTACCCTTGACCAAACCCACTTTTATAGGGAAGCTTGTAAAGTTGTAATAGATGCACTATAAGAATTTCAACCATTCTTGATGTACACACCCTTGTACACACCTTATACACACCATGTTTGTGAAGCTTTTTTTTTGTCTGTGAATCCGATTCACAGACAATATTTTTTTTTGTGCAAAATATTGTCTGTGAATCGATGTTCACAGACAAAAAAAGCTTTCACAGACATAGGTGTGTACAAAAGTGTGTATAAGAGTGTGTACAAACATCATTTTTGATAAGAATTTAGCTATTTTATTACAAATCTAAGCTTGAACGTGTAACGAGAGACGAATTCCCCTCCACGTAGAAGTCGTCAAAATCGCGTGAAAATCCGGGCAAGTACAACACAAAAAGGCTTTGGCAAGCTAGGAGAATGAAACCTGTTTCCGGTTTAAGCACAAAAAGGCTTTGGCAGGCTTTGGAAAGTTCAACACCATAAAAAACCTGTTTCGACGTATATGAATACTACATTTAGTGTCAGTTGCAGCCATACCTAATTGCTTCTTCCCCTTTATGGATGTTCCGCCAAAAACTTCAAGTTTTGCTGTGAATGGACGAGAAATGGAATCTCTAAGAAGAAAACTAAAAAAGGAGGGAAGCAGCCCGCTAGAAGAGATTCTTTAATTCTAGGAAAATTATTAAAGCTTCTGACTTAGAATAGATACCGTGAGTGTCCAAAAACTAAAAATAAAAATAACTGATTGTGTTTTTATTGGATCTTTTAAAATGTCAGTGACCAATTTGATCTTTGCCTAAAGTCCTGTTTGGTTGGAGGGTTTCGGAGGTGAGGGGAGGAAAATGGGGGATTTGTATGTGTTTGGTTGAAGGAAATAGGGGGAATGGGAGGAAAGTTGAAGACTTTCAAAATCCTTCACTTCCTTGCATTCTAAACCCCCAAATCGGGGTATTTCAGAGGAAACGTGTTGATAACCATAAACTATCCATCTCTTACGTGAATGAACAAAACGTTATAACATAAAAAAGGTAAAAAACAAAAAGTTTTGAAAAATTAAAAAATTAAAAAATTAAAAATTTATAGATTAAAAAATTTAAAAATGTAAAAATTAAAAATTTTAAAAATTTTAAAAATTAAAAAATTAAAAATTAAAAATTTAAAAACTAAAAATAAAAATTAAAAATTCCAAACTGAAAAATGAAAAATTATAAAATTAAAAAAGTAAAAAATCAAATAAAATAAAATTATGACTCATGACCATAGGAGTAATATTCACAATAGTTAGACATGTGTCTATTTTTTTAAGTAAGCTATCAAATAAAAGTAAATTGCGAAAATATTTTCATTAAACCTTTCCTCCTATTTCCTCTCCAACCAAACACAAATTTTTATCAAAATCCTTTCTTCTCCTTCCCTTCCCTCCCCTCCTTTGAACCAAACAAGGCCTAAAACTAGTGTCCAAAATGGTCATTCTCCCATGATTAAGCCAATCCCGATCAAAGCATAAACATTCAGAAGTATGATTAAAATTCTGTGTAATTACATACTACTTAGTATTTTAATCACCGTTTACTCATTTTAAATACTATGTCATGCACTAAATAAAGGAAAATTTTGTGGTGCCTTTGCATTAGGTGATGTTCAGGTGCAACCTCCACGTGGAGTGAATTACATTTTAGCATCGTTAAGTCCGTATTGTATGGAAAATTGCAATTTAGTCCATAAAAGTTTAAAAGTATACAGTATTTCATTAACTTTCATTAGCAACTTAATGCTCATCCGGTTCATAACATGGTGTTCGTGAAATACTCCCTATGTAATAATTGTGCATATTAAAATAAATTTCATCTCAGAACAAAAAAAGTCTCACAAGATTAAATATAAAAGGAAAAATTGACAAGAATAATTTCACCTTTCACTAGTCTTCTCATAATAATCACACCTTTAAATAATCCCAAAATAATCTCACCTTTGCACATCATCTTCTTTCATTGGACCCTGACCATGTTTTTTACTCTTTCTTAGAAAATTATATAAATAATCTCACCTTTCACTTTTTAATTATATCCTTATAAATGTGAGATTATTTATATAAGAATTTTAAAAAAGGTAAAAAAAACTTGGTCAGGATCCAATGAAAGAAGATGAGGTGTAAAGGTGAGATTATTTTGGAATTATTTAAAGGTGGGATTATTATGAGAAGACTAGTGAAAGGTGGAATTATTCTTGTCAATTTTTTCAATATAAAAAGGTTCGAAATGATTTTAATTTTAATTTTTAGCCCTTTTTATGCCTTTATTAAAATAAATATAAAAAGATGAAAATATGACTTATTTGAGTTTCCCAAAAAAGTACCTAATTAATTACTCCCTCCGTCCCATAAAATTCTTCCCACTTTCTTTTTTGGATCGTCCCAAAAAATTCTTCTCACTTACCATTTTTGGACAATTTGTGTGGTTCACATTCATTTCACATTTTTCTTACATAACCACAACCATACATTTTCACTTTATTCCACTTTTTTAATCTCCGTGCCAAGTCAAATTGGGAAAAATTTTATGGGACGGAGGTAGTATATTATTATTTGTGTCAGTAATTTATTTTGAAAGGAAATCATCCATATTGATATACTAATATATTTAATCATGCTCTTTAGTCCTTACACCTAGCTCAAATTTAGCTAGCAACCTTCTCATCCTTAGACTCAAAACATCTGCCTAGTGATCGCTCACTCCTTGTTTAGACATAGTCACATAGAAACGTATGATGGGCAAAGAACAAAATGATCCGCTAACCATGCGAGAGCTTTGAAGATTTGTTCTTCTGTGATAGCCTCGTTACTTCTATCAGAATAAACACTCAAACGACACAAGACTCGAAATAAAAAAAAATAAAAATAAAAAGAGATTTTGTTGAAAATATTACTAAAATAAAATTTATTTCCAAAATACGACTAATAATTATTCCGTACTATATTATAATGTCATGGCTACTTAAAAGTAAAAATTGAAAATAAGTTACCATAATTAAGTTACTATTTTAATCACTGTACATAAGAAGTTACGTGTTTGTAAGCAATTTTTGTTTTAGTTATAAATATCAAATTAAATCAAATAAAAAAGCACTAGAATGAAAAACTAAGCTAATTTAATTCTTGAAGCCAGTCTCCTTTGAACTTTATTGCTCTTTTACGACCATGAGTTCTACCTCTAGATACTTGTAAATCATCACTTGGAGACGCTAAAACTCTTAGTGAGTCGGAACAACTTGACTCGCTCGTAGTCAAGTTGCTTAAACGGAGTGGGATGAAATTTACTGGCAGGGCTGCGATGAAGTCCACTATGATCTGCAAGCAATTGAAATTTCAGATTTTCAATAAATTGTTAAAAGTATATTGTAAGGCAGTTCAGTAAAAGAGTCCATCAAGAATAAAATGGGTATAGTTACAAGCTTGATGCACCAGTGTTATGATTTACTAGCAAATTGATGAAGTAAAGAAAAACATTTGAAGCGCTACGCTCATGGCTAGTTTTATGCTTTACGAGTTGTTCTCAAATCACTTGCCGGTTAATGATTTATTTACTCAGAGATCAATATAACATGAATGAACTATAAGTCAAGTTGGAAGCCAATTACAAGCCAATCACCAATCACGTAAATGCCTAATCCAATGATTGTTGTTAATTTTTTATTTGTTTAGTTTCAAAATCTAAAGGCTAATTCAATATTACAATTCATTTACATTTTAACAAACACCTTATAGGCATGCAAAAGAAATACAAATTTTAGATCATAATTTGAATAGTGAACATGACGACTTCATATTTCATTATAATTAACAAATATAGTCAAACAAACCACAATTGAAAACACAGAACTGTAAATTTTTCAAGCCTAAATACATGTTAACAGAAAAGGACTGCGAGAAAAGCAGAATAAACCGAAAGAATTGTTGAAAAGAACAAAAAAAAAAACTAATTTTACATTATAAGTGATGTTAACAAGCGGCTTTCAAGATTATCAGACCTTGATGTCGATACATGAAAATGAAGCAATGGCCGAAAGAACTATGAAATTCGGAAATAGACAAAAGGGCAAGAGGGGCAAGCGGAAAGGGAGGGGTGGAACGTGGGTAGGGAGAGGAAAGAGCGATATGAAGGACTACTATGCAAATATACATTTTTTATGACAAAGCTTACTTGGAACGAGAAACAAATGAGCACACGCCACATGGCTAATGCACCGATGCATTCTACAATGCGAAGCTACTGAAGAGCTCCCCCTAAATAAAAACTAAGCCCTCCAAAGCATTCCCCTCTAAAACCCTAAAAACTCTCCATCCAAACAGACTAACTCTCTAATATCATACGGAGTAAATCATTCCCAACTTAAAAATTGTCATCAATCATTCATTTGTGTTGGAAAGGTGTCTCTTCGTTAATACCCAAGGTCACTAGTCACTACCCTGTGCATGTAGAATTCAAATATGCATGTATTTCTGGGAGATGAAAACCATTCAAGTCTTACGTTTATACATATTATAATACACATTATATTGCAGCTAAATACAGTTCAGTTACCATAAGCAGTAAAATTATCATCAATTTGACATTAGGCTGTGACCATATTCAACTATTCAAGCATTGAGGATATCCCGTAACACTCCTAAAACCCGGTCCGCTACTTCCTGCCCAAAGAGTCTAGGGTAGCTTAATCCAAGATCAATTTCAATTGTCTTGTTTTTAATGATTCGGTCCCTCCTTTCTAGTTCAGCACTCTCATCCCCTCCAACTTCTCTCTCCACACTTGCACACACATCAAACCATGTCCCCAGCATTTCCTTAGCAATAGGGCTTATATGATCTCGAATAATATCATCAATGCGTTCTTCCTCATCATCATTCGCTTCTATGGAAACCATAATGGATGATGGGGAGAACACAGCACGAACAAACAGGGATGAAGAGAAGTAAGGTCGCACCACGGGTAGCTCCTGAAGATGTTTCCTGTGTCTGTCCAATTGGGTGTCTTCGTAAAACACTTTCAAGTACTCAGGGTGTAGAACAAGGTCCTTTCGAGGAGGGAGATCAAGGATAAGAACTAGAGACACTGGAGAGGTACGAATGAACTCAATTACAAAGTTTGGTGCATTAGTAGAGGATCTCAAATAGGCAGATAGAGTGGTTATGTTCACGGCTCCTCCACTGGGCAACTTGCAATGGATCCAACTCCCCAATATGAGATTAATCTGTCGCACATTGAATAACTCCATAAGTTTTGCGTCATCTTTTAAGTCTTCTTCTACAGTTCAGACCATTATAAGCTCACATTTCAATCCTTGTTATTACTTCTACCATTAAATTTACAGATCGCATTCATTAGTACTCACACAGTTGCATGTTAAAACCCATAATTATTAAAATGTTATACTTGCATAAGAATGATGTGCACTTTAAAGTGTTGGTTCTAGAGTCTATACCAGGCAGCACACAGACCATCTCGGTTCTAGAACTTCCAGTTCCTTCCATGAAAGGGGGAACCATAACTGGAAGTCTGGAACTGGTTGGGACTGGTTCGATTCTCCAAACAGTTCCAGATGTGACAGATTTTCATGTTTTACATTTAATCTAGAATTTTGACCCCATCCACCAACAGCTATTATAGGTATTTGGACAGACTACTTTGCTGAAAACCCACAAAAAAGCAAATAACAAAATTTGAATCAGAATAAGAACCACGGGTTCCAGACCTCTAAACTCAGAACTTGAACGAAAACCTTATACCACTGGATGGGTTCCGGTTCACCCATTCCTGGTTCCAGTTTCAGATATGAATCATGTCCACAAAAATGCAAACAATAAAATTAGCATTGTAATATGAATCACGGGTTCCAGACTCCCTAAACTCAGAACTTGCACCAAAAACTTATTCCACCTGTTGGGCTCCGGTTCACCCATTCCTGATTCCAGTTTCAGATATGAACCATGTCCACCCCTAATGTATACATTTTTTAACATATGTGAACTGTGCTAAAAGAAATGCCTATCCCTTTTTTGCTATAAAAAGAATACAAAAGAAATATTCACTACATTCATTAAGTCTACAGTTTAGCTCTCTGTATGTATAGAAAACAAGCTTTTGAATAAATACTAGCCCATTCATAACATAGACTGTTCAACTGCTTTTACCCCACATCTTATTGACCACAATTTAGCTGAAGAAGGGTATGTTGTGATTGGCTCTATGTTTACATAAAGACGTGACACCAAGATTTAAACATGATTATCAACAATTAAAAAACATTAAGGTAAAGGCTGAGAGTAATCCATTGACCTGATAAGAGAGCTCCCTAGCTTTATCTACTCTTAGTCTCAGACTAATTGAACAACATAATCAACTACGTTCATTTACTCATCAAGGCAAGAGATCTAATCTATGACAATTACAAACAAGAGCACCACACAAACACGGATCTAACCAGCTCCTAAGAAAGGTTGTGTATGGCGGTTTCTTTTTCTCCTGATTCATTTACTTTTACTACTGGCTGCACCTTACATCATCCATATGAGATGCCTCAAATTTCTGAATCTACATCTATCACATTTTCCATTTAATGGAGGATCCTAAGCATCACCACTTTCATAGATAAATCACATGCACTATTCAATATTCAGTACAACAAGTCAACAACTAGTTCTAAACTTCAGATAACTATTCACCAAGTTAAGTAGCACATTGTTTTGGAAAATTTGAATGAATAGTTGAGTACTTTAATTGAAAAATAGTTAGGGTGTAGAATTGAAAAAAACATATTCACTACTTCACCCCATAGTAGTCAATGGTGAGATATGGTGCACACCATATGCGCCATCTCCATGAAAAAGTGGTCGTCGCCATAGCCTCATATGCACCATATGCGCCATTTGTATATGCGCCATCGCCATGCGCCATGAAAAATGGGTTTGAGCCATGGCGATCGCCATGCGCCATGACAACTATGCTTCACCCCCATTGCCCCCATTTTGGGGTAACCAAAACCGAATGAGTTGGGGTCGAGGTGAATGACTCACCTTATTAAGTTAACTAATAATATCAAATGAGCCCTCAAACAATTTAAAGCTCATTTAGTAACCTCTATTTTCAGCCAACCAATCAAATTTGTACAAAGCACGTAACTTTTAACTTCGCACGTTGAATCAAAATATGCAAGATTAAAGTTACTTTTCTGGCTGAATTTACTCCAAAAGAGTATTATAGCTATGTTTTCATATACTATTTTCTGTATCTTATTAATAAAAAATACTACGTATATTTTAAATACTAATCTCTCTGCCCCGCTAAAATTGTCCCATTTTACTTTTTCGGGAAATCCCACCAAGATTGTCCCATACCAAATTTGGTAAAGTTTGTGTGGGTCTAAATCATTCTTACTTTATCAATTCAATATCAACCACATAACCACACGTTTCTTAATACCCGTGCCACCTCCTCTTGTCCCAATGTTAGTGGGACAGAGGTAGTATCATATAATTTTTCCATATTTCATCCAATTCAGCCGCTTTGACCAAAGTTTCATCAAATCTCAATAGATTCAACCAATTTCATTGTTATCAAATAGGATCTAAATGAAGTTATTTAACCATATCCACTGGAATCCAGACATATCTAGTAGTAATTAATCAAGTACTGTAGGGCTGTCTATTGCTAAAAGGGCAGCCTAGAAGTTGCTTAAACATCACAATCTTAGCTCCTCCCAATTCTAGTCCACAACTCCAAACAGCTGATAAGTTCATCACAAAAGCTCAAGTAATAAGATAGCATACCAAGGAAGAGGGGATGCCTGACCGGACATGGAGTGAACCATGTGCGGAGCCATTAGGGTTTTCATAGTACTGGACATCAGGTGGGAGGGTACATGGGTGGAGGTCAGACCCAAGCCGGGTCTCAATAGAGGACATGAGTTCCACCATAAGCTCTCTCTGGGGAGCGCACACGTACGGAAATTCAATGAATTTGGATTGAGGTTCGGCGTGTAAGGGTTCCATGCGTGGAGATGAAGAACAAGATACTTGATTTCTTGAGAAACGTAAGGTCTGTAATGTAGTTGCAGAATGAGAAATTCGTGAGACAGTAGAAGCTTGCAAACAAGCACAGGAAACAGCCATTTGGGTATATGGATTCTTGGCCTGTATAGCACTAGTATTTAACTAGTATACATATCACCAAATGCAAATTTCTTAAGATCTGCATCATGAGAATACATCTCAACATCATAAAAATCAACTCAAGATTAAGACTTTAGTTGAATACAAAATGTCAAAATCGAAAGCTCGAGTTCAAATGGTAAACTATTTATATTCCCCCAAAAAGAAGCAAAATTAAAAATTCATACAGAAAATAAAATAACAGATAGATTCCGCAAGAGCAAAGTTAATTGTATAGAGGTTATCTCATTCCAGCCAATTATTGAATGACCAAGTTTCACTTTCTGTTGGGGTTTCGCGTATAGGGGTGATAATCGAGTACTTAGATCGCCCTCCTTGGACTTTCAAAATTTTCTACTATCTATGTACTCCATAATATTTTCATAAAATTTTCATACTTTAATTATATATATATATATATATATATATATATATATATATATATATATATATATATATATATATATATATATATATATATATGTATGTATGTTTTCGCCCCCTATCTTTGTCATGTTTAATTATCTTTATTAGATAATTAGTACTTGATTTTGTAAAATATCAATGATATTAAATAACAGACACAACAGTTAAACAATTTTTAGATCATGTTAAGTGAATCCAAAATATAAATGTTTGTTGACACTAAACTACACAATCAATTTACTTCTTTACTTTGTAAAAACAATTTGTTGCATGGATAATAAACTTTAACTTATTTTAGCATTAATACAAATATAATATGCACCATGTATATATGAATTACTAATCATATTATTCTAAAACTAATAATCGCATACATATTATTGTAATATTAAGAAAACTTCTCGCGATTCACGAATACCCTCCTTCGTACACAAAAATTGTAATTCAAAAACCGATTCTTTATTCTAATAACATTCATGTGGTTAAACAAAGCAGAAGTTATTTAAAAAGCATCAGTTTATGTGTACCTTTTAAACTCTTTACCATCAAATAATTTGATAAAATGTTATATCCTTTCTTATTTTCAAATAATTTTCTAGAGCACTTACAATTTTTTATCATCATAGAGCACTTACAATTATTGATTCAAAATTATTTTTCAATTGTTTAAAATTAGAATGTAATAGATTTAAATGTCAATGTGTATTTACTCATGGAATTTTCAGAACAAAAATTAGCCGCGAAATCTTACACTAGTGAAAAAAATTCGACTCGTTACACTAGCGAAAAAAATTCGACTGGCTACACTAGCAAAAAAAATTCACTTCCCTACACTAATGAAAAAATTCACCCCCTTAACTCGAAATCCTGAATCCGTTCTTGTGTTCATCTACACATTGCTTGTTTTTCTTCTAGAAGTTAAACACAAAGATGAAAGAACAAAATAATTTGGGAATCAATACTTTTAATGCATAATTGACTAGAGAGTCACTTGAGAAACGTCGGAATCTCCATGGCCGAAACCAAGATTTTCAGAGGCATCCCCTTTTCAGTCGGATTGGAAAACAAATGAAATGAAGGGGGACTTCTTCACCGACATCCTTCTCATACATTAAATAATATGTAGTATGGAGTATTAATATGTGACTCTCCAATTTAGTAGAAGAAAGGTCATACTACAACCGCGAAGGATAAGAATCAAGAGACGAACCAAACGAAAATTCAGACGGCAAAGCAGATAATAGGGAGCATCAAGCCCCAAGGGACACCCAATAACTCAAACGAGCAACGATGACCAGGCTAGGAGCGACCAAGACGACGAAGGTTGGTAGGTTTGAGCAAAAGGGGACCAGTCCAGGAAGAAAATAAGCGAGCGGGGAGAGAGAAAGAAGGGGAAGGCGGTCACCTTACAAGAGCGTCGGTGGTGTAGTAGTGGCGGTCGCGATTAGGTGCACAGAGCGCCGATGAAGTTGGTGGCCTGGTCAGATGAGGAACGAGGGTAAGACTAGAGTCATGGCTGGCCTGGGAAGTTGCTCCTGTACAAGAAAAAAGAAAAAGAAAATGAAATAAAGAAGAAGAAAGTTAAATACCTTTTCCATCATTTTCAATTTTCAATGGAGCCAAAGATTCATTATTTTTTTGTTTGAGATTATGATGAAATAAAGCAAAATGGCTCACTAAATTTTCAATCCATGCAATTTTGGACGGGATTTTCACTATGAGTCATCCGGAAATAGTCTCTATGTACTTTAGTACAGGGATAAGACCGCGTATAGTTTCACTTTGCGGGACTGGAGTAAATGAAAATGAAAGAAGAAAGTTAAATACCTCGAAAACATAAAATTAAAAAAAAACAATAAAACCATGTGGAAAGTCCACATGGGCAGTGACCCAGGGAACTTGTAGTCTACCGGCTAAAATTAAAATTGGATGTTTTTTATAGTTCGAGTGCTTGATCATAGGGGTGAGTTCGATTCTTACGGTTCGGTTTTGACCTAAAACCAAATATAGTATCAAAGTAAAAAGTTCGGTTCGGTTTCGGTTCGATTCTACACTCCAAAACTTGGAACCACGGTTTGATTGGTTTGGTTTGTTTCGATTCGGTTTCTGTTTTTTCGGTTTTTTACCAAAAAATTGTCATTTTATTTAAAAATGATTTCATACTTTGAGGGATCAAACATATATTACATAAAGAATGCAAGCACACTACAACTTCTTCCGGCGACAATAGCAGATGTTTCAATTATACTTCTACGGACTAGCAGTAGGTCAGGCTGGCGATGGAGTCAAATCGGGTATATCTTCTTCTTTGTTTTTCTTCTTTCTCCGGCAAAGATTGCGGCCGACGATTTCCTCGACGGCGTGTACTGATCTTCTATATTTCTCTCCCTCTACTTCTTACGTATATATGTGTAGGTAATGATGAATTCGGGCCGGGTCGGGCCGCCGGTTCAAGAAAAGTGGGCCCGGGACCGGCCCGCGGGTTGGACGGGTCCGGTTCGGGCCGGGCCACCCGCCCGAGTCACGGGTCGGGTCCGGTTCGGTTATTTTTGTTTTTTAAAATTTATATTTATAGTTTATAGTTTTATACGAGTATTAAAAACAAACTTCAATTGCATTTATTTGAAATGAAATAGGAACTACCTATGAAGCACGGATACTTCCCTAGGGTAGCGTATCGGCGTATCGGATACGTTCCCGTATCCGATACTCTAGGATACCCGTACCGTACGTTCCCGGGCCGTATCTGTAATTTTTAAAAGTTTCCATTTTTTTTGTAATTTTTTGAAAGTTTCCGATACCCGTATCCTGACGGATACCCGTATCATTGGCAGTTTTTTTGGAAGATGATATTATTCCTGGAAATTAATACTTCCAGTGAAAATATGTATTAGATGTTAGAGCTTTTAAAATATTGTTTTCTATCTTAATTATTCTAGAACTTTGGTACTTGCACTTTTAATTTCAAGATTGTAGTTATTTGACTTATTTCTCATTTTAAATTAATGACTTATCGACTACATGTCTACATTTATATTTCGAGATGCACTAGTGTATATGAGAAATATTATGATATATATGTAATGAATGGGTATATATGTATATATAGGATATATATATATATATATATATATATATATATATCCAAAAAAATATTATTTTTTGTATATTTCATAGGATATTATATGTATATATTTTCAAAAAAAATCTATTTTTAATATTTATAAATACACCCCTGTAACTTTTAATATTTGTAAATACACCCCCATAACTTTTAATATTTAAAAATATGGCCCCGTATCCGTATCCTACTTTTTTGTTTTGCCGTATCCCCGTACCCGTATCCGCGTTTCCGCGATTCCGCGTACCGGTATCGGTGCTACATAGGGAACTACATATAAGAGATAAACATTTTGAAAATTGTAATCAATCGGAACTTCCTGCACCTCCCGATCCTTTGGCTTTGTCACATGACTTCATATGCTTGATTGTCATCCCGAATCCGCCTGAAGCCCCCATTATACTTTTTTTTCGCACCATTTGCAAATTGCGTACCACATCCCGGTCTTCGGGTCCTTCTGCTTATCAAAATTATACTGTATAATGACATTTTGATTTTCCATCTTAACTTCTTGGAGAAGAGAATATGAGAGTAGATATATAATATATTGGAGAATAAGAGAATTAGAGAGTAGAGAGATAAGAATAGGAAGAATTGGAGAAGAGATATGAAAAAATGTTTAAGATTAGGAGTATTTATAGGGTTTTTTTTTACCCCCCACCCCCCCCCCCCCCCACCAACCCCCCACCACCCAACCCCCCCGGACCCCCCCTTTACCCCACCCAACGGCTATATAGCCGTTTGGGTTGTCCCCAGCCCCACCCCCAACGGCTAGTAGGAGCCCAAACAAAAAAAAAAATTAAAAAAATTGGATCGAACCCGGGCCCGGGCCAGACCCGGCCGGGCCGAGTCACAAAAATGCTGAACCGAGCCCGCCCCGCCCTTCCCACCGGTTCGGGCCCATACCCGGTCCCGGACCGCCCGAACCAGGCCGGTCCCGGGCCCGCACAGTACCGGGCCGGGCCGGGTCACGGGCCGGGCCGGGTCACGGGCCGGGTGGCCCGAACCGAATCCATCCCTATGTGTAGGTGTTCGGTCGTTTTTCCTTTTGCCAAGCAAATGAAATGAAACCCAACTATTTATATACGTAGACATTTACAACGGTCAAAGCTTACTCATGTTTATATTTTTTTTTGGCTGGTTTGTTAATTTTTTAACAAGTATTGGACTGAATCATACGAGGCTTTGCTGAATCATCTCAAGGTATGGATGTGTTGTTGCTATGTTGTGAGTTTGATATGCGTACACCTTGTGTGTGTCTTAAAATGAAAATAAATAAATATGTCATGAATTATATAAGTATGCGAGAGAGATAAAAGTATATATTATTAATTTACATTGTTTGTGACTAGTTCAAAAAAAGTTCATGAGTATATACGTTATATGTGATATAGTTGAGATAAATATTTATTGTTTCATAGATACGAATTCTTTAAGTTAAATAAAAATAAAAGTTAATTAATACTAATAACAAGTAAAAACATATTATCAGTATAGCTACATTATTACGTGCAATGAATGTGTAAATGAATTCACAAACTAAACTAAGCATAACAAACATTATTTCTCTAGCACAAGAAAACCAAAAATTATTAATGATATTAGGATTAGTTAGGATTAATGCATAACAATTGACAAATAAATTTTACTCCGTATATTTTAACTAGTTCGGTTTGTTCGGTTCGGTTCGGTTTTGAGGGGTAAAAACCAAAACCGAACCAAACAACTACGATTCGGTTCGGTTTTTTACATTCGGTTTCGGTTTGTTAACGGTTCGGTTTTATTTGGCTACGGTTCGGTATGATTTGATTCGGTTTTCGGTTTTCGATTTTTCGGACCCAGCCCTACTTGATCAGGTGTTTTCATAGTATATGGGTTTAATTGACTTTTCGATAATACTAGAGGGGCTTATTTAACAATTTTTCCAAAATGAATTTATGTCCTTAACAATGTTAGATGCAACATAGTCTACTCTCTTTTTCACTCCATACAAAATGATGTATTCAATTGAGCACCCAGAGCGACCAAGCATCGGAATTCAATGAGGGCAAATTTTAAAGACAAAAAAATAATACCAAATGTTCTACAGAAAAAACAGTTCGTCCATATCAAATATAAAAATTACCACAAATTCACAACTGTTCACAAATATAAAAATTATCAGTTTGATGATGACATTATTGTTAATTTGGAAATGATTCGAGGAATTGTAAATCACAAATAACATTAATACAATAATAATAAATGCAAAAATGGGCATTTCAGCTAATCACCTTATCACATTAATCAATCAATTAAAATGTGAAAATCACAATCACATATTCTTGAGATTAAGCTTAATCACGGGAAATCACATATCATTGTTGTACTGAAAATCACATATTTCACATTCACATATTTTTACTTGGACTATTTTCAGTCTCAGATCAGATCAAACCATACATGACTTAAATAGATCAAACCAAACCAGACCAAAGCAGACTTAAACAGACCAGATCAGATTTAAACAGACCAGACCAAACCAGACTTGACTTCCGTAGTCATAAAATACACAGAAATCAGACGTTTACCAGATCAGATCAGAAGAATTCAGAACAGACCAGATCAGACTTATACAGATCAGATCATACCACCAAATTAATTCTCAATGTAAATTGGCCAAAGAAATATAAAAACCTCAAATTCCGGAAATAAAAGCTTTATTATAAAGCCGAAAGTAAAAAAAAAAGTATAACAAAAATAAAACTGCAACCATAACAACCTGAAATTAGCCCCCTCCGGGCCTCTGAGCTCTTGCAGCCGGCAAAGTAGAGGAACTAGCGAGAAGCCCAGGACGATCCAGGTCACCCAGATTCCAGTGGAGCTGTGGTCTGTGGAGGTGAAGCTCTGAATAGCCCAAGAGGACTAGTGGACAGTGGCCTTCAACCAAGCAAGAGGACAAGTAGACGAAGTACTTTGCTTTGCACGCGTGATTGGGCCACTTTTAATTTAGGGCTTCTGGACTGACCCGTCGAGCCCATGTGATGTCTATTGATTTTTTTCTTTTTCAAGGAAAATTTGTAAATTTGGTTCTCGTATGATAACAAAAATGTCAATTAAGTTCTCATATTTAAAAAAAATCAATTAAATTCTTAAATTTTAAAAAATGTTCAATTGAGTCAAATAACAGGGTGCATGTCATGTGAGTAGGTTACCCGCTTGCATGCCGCACACGCGACGGTCCACGTGTGCGTCACATCATTGGAAAATGGCTTACTGGGTTTCCATGTGTGTGTCACATAAGCATAGTCACTTCTGTCTGGCCTGACCGTGTGTGCCACGTCGGCATGTGACTGCTGACGTGGCGAGTAACCTACAAATGAACTCAATTAAACGTTCTTTCAAAGTTCGCAAATTTGATTATTTTTTAAAAGTACAAGGAGTTAATTGACGTTTTCGTGATAGTACTAGGACCAAAATGATAGTTTTTTTAAATTTTTTGTTGTAATAACTACTACCTCTATCCCTAATTAAAATTTTTGATTGACTTTGCATGCAGATTAAGAGATTGAGAAATGTGTAGCCTAAAGTTGTGCATAGGAGAGACAAAGTAGTGACAAATGTTGTGAGGCACAAATTTTTTGTCAAAAAGGTAAAGAGTAATACTCCGTATATATTAAGGACGAACGGAAAAAACAAAAAGTGAAGTTTACTTTGAGATGAAAGAAGTACTTAAGTGAGTCAATCATTTCATTTTTGCCATAATATTACACGAAGTATTTTTTTGGCAAAAGCATGGAATATTCTTTTTCATCTCTAAATGTGACCTTTTCAGCTTTATTCTTTTGTTTCCTTTCATAATTTCCAAAGGGTATCGGTTGGCACAACGTTATTTTTACTTAATGTAATGTAACCCTAATGAGACTATTTTAACCTTTTTAAATGAAAATTATGGGTGATGTCACGATAAAAGGAGTTCACACGCCACACCTATCATGCCTCGGGCCATGTCTGTGCCACGTAGGCAACCACAGTAAATACAATGAGAATAACTGCAGTTCATCCTCATTGAATTGCACAAGGGGTACGAAAGATTCATACATCAATCCGGTCAATAAACACATACAAACAATATCAACACTTAAGTCAAACAAAGTACGGAATACAAGATCATGAGCACACATGCTTAAAAATGTTTGCAAAACATAGTTTAGAAAATACTCATGAGCGTTTACATTATTTAAAATAGAAATAAAGTGCATACTCTTTCTGGTTATAAAGTTTGAATACTAAACATGCCCCTGGTACCCCTTTTGTATCTTTATTTCATAGTTTAGCTTCTTTTACATCAACTTTGATTATATTTAATTTATAGTTTAGTTTACTCCTCTTTAGTGAAACATTTGCTTGTTTGACCATTGAACTCACTTAC